ATGCAGGGTTGCTGCAGGACTTGATCAAGTTTCCTGTGACAGGCTGTGTTTTTACGGTCCAGACGCGATGTTCATGTATGTACTTCCCAGCCTTTTTCATTTGAAGTTTTTTTAGTTCTGAAGGAAGGAAGAAGTTCCGAAATGCTTTCCAAGGACCACTGTTGGGTTCTTGTTTGCAGCAACCGTCATCCCTAGTGGCTAATCTAAGAAACCCACTTGTCTTTCAATGCATTCCCTGGGTATGCTGGCATTCCACACTCTTGAATCCTCGCTATCTGGCGAGAAGAGGGCCGCAGTTTGCTGCGATATCGTTCACAGTGTTGTGCTCGGGACACTTACTCGAGGACGACTTTCATCCTTGCTTTTGCGAAGACGTTGAACGCCCTGCCAAGAGATTATGGAGCTTGAGAAAAAGGCATGACCCATCCCTGTCTTTGCAAGGAAGATCGACTGATAGCTGGCGCTGCTCGAGCTGCTAATGTTGAAGTGCAGAGCGACGCAGCCTCATCCCTGAGGTGTGCGGAGAAAGTCATCTGAGTTCGAGCTGTGGTTGCTGTAGATTGCGTTGTTGGTGTTGGTGTGGGAGCTATTGATATGCAAGGTGGGTCTTTTTGAGTCGGCATTTGTAGTGTTAATGCAGCTGTCAGTGTTGCTCGCGGTCTCCCACTGGCAAGCTCCACCGCCACAAGAACCGATGGTGGAGGATCAGGAGGAGGCAGTGGGACCGGGACCGCAAGCGGCACCGCCTCAGCCAAAGCCGCCGGGGGCACTGACGAGGGAACCACCGACGGCCGGAGCAAAGGCGGCGACACAAGCCGACCCGATGAGCCACCACGCCCATTCTCCTCCACCACCGCCACCAACGACGGCGGAGCAAGCACAGTCTGTGAGCCAGGATCCGCGGGTTGTGTAGGCAACGGCTGTGTGGTTATTGGTTGTTTTCTAGGTCGCCCTCGCTTCGGTCTTTGTTGTTGTGCGCAAGGTGGAAGTATGTGACGTGGTGTGTGTTGTTTGATGCGTGCGTTCACTTGCTGAACAGTCCTACCAACATACCGACTAGCGCATTGTCAGCATTCAAAGTTGTAAATAAGATGACTTAGGTGATGGGCTGGTAGGACATTCTTCCGCACCGTAAACGCACGCATCGTCGTAAAGACTGGCACGAAGTGTACTGCGTAGTATGTTCGACGAACAACAGACTTGACTGCACTACAAACTTTAGTCGACTCCTGCCCTTTCCACGGCAAACATAAATAAACGGGACAACGAGCAGGACCAATCATAGGAGCCTTCGTAGTTTGTTCGACTTTCAACAACTTCTGCAACAAAAACTCAGCCCGTTCTTGACAAAACTGACCGGAGAAAATCAAGCTCTTCCTGCAGCTTGCAGGACGAACAAACACGCTTCGCACGATCTACAAGGTTACGCACTAAGTTTACTTTATATTGAGACGAACAATAAGAGTCATGTACAACTCTTATTGTATAAAAAATATATATAGATAGATGGGCCTCAATATATAGATAGATGGGCCTCAACCAGCAAAAACAGCCCTTAGGCTGTCATCACACCATGATACAAAGCGCTGCATCTACGTCCACGTAAGGAGTTTTTGGTCGGTTGTCATGATGATCCGTATACGGGGTGAAAACGGGAGCAGAGGAAACGGGAGACGTAGACGTGGTATGGAGAGGGGGGGTATACGACTTTTTGTATGAACGTGCGTATCTCCCCCAGCCTTTTTCCGAGCGATCCTGTGCTTCGATGTACGTGGGTTCAAATTTCTCCAAAAACCTGACTGTATGTACCTACGCGTCAAGAACTGTGCCTGTCTGATGACACGACCACCCGTTTTGGTTTTTTCAACATAGACGTAGACGTGAACGGGAGTTGGAGAACGTGGTGTGATGATGGCCTTAGGGTCAACATTTTCAAAATTCCCTTTGGTAAGAAATTTCTTGAACCACATCTGCTGAAGGACCTCGGCAAATAAAGAGTTTAATATTGCGATTCAAAACGGGTGTATGCACCAATATACAAGAGATACTCCAAATTGGTGCAGTGTATGGATACGATGTATGTGTACAATAAATATTCAGCATTCTAATATGGGTGGGCAGCTTGAATACTTTTGAAACAGTGCAGTAGGCAGCAAGAATGGCAAAGAATAGCTGAAGAGTGCGGAGATATGATCGACATTTTCGAAGCTTCATCCTGCGTCGAGTCGTTCCGCAATCTTCCATTACTTCTTCCGCAGCCGAAGATACGACGTTGCTGCCGTCGGCCCCGTCACTAGCTCCAAACTCAGAAGTTATCTCAGCTGACGACTCCTCATCTCCCGACTCTGCCGAATCATCGGCCACCTTGATCCACATCGCAGCAGGAGATGACGGCTGCGATTCCGCCTCACTGTTGACATCGACGTCGGAACCGAAGAGCGTCTCATCATCACTCTGATCTTTAGCGGTTACTTCAGCATCCACTCCCCTGCAGGCTCAAACTAGCTGTGCACAATGACTGCCGCGTATGCTTAGCTCTGCGAACAACTCTGGCGTCCGCAGCCATCGCAACAAAATCGAGGAACACTCGAGTCGCCACACGACACCACTTCAACTTCAAAATATAATTACTTCAAGTTCAAGCAAGCAGTTCAATACGAACACTTTGCACTGTTCGCAGCGCGACCAAAAATCGTTGAACGTCACAAATCGACCTTTTTCTCGAACAAATTACGAAACCTCTAAGGGTCGTTTTCGCTGATTGCGGCTCAGATAAGAAAGATGGGTTTTAAATTTGGAAACGCCTTGGAAGCTAATAAGATCAGTCTTGATTCCTATGCCAAAAAGAGGGAGTTATTTGTCATCAGTGAAGAAAAGCTGAATAAAACTTTTGGAAATGTGAATGGTCATTGTTGTGAACCCTCTGGTTCTCTAAAGTATCAGGAACGAACGACCCCACACGGCACGAGGACAACTATTTATTCTCAACAGTATATTTCACTTCCATCGACTAATACCAATGAACAATGAATGACTGAATGAACAACTGAATGAACTGAATAACTAACACTAAAACCACCAGGTAGTTATAGCGTTAAAATGACAGCGTATATGAGAAAAGCATACACATACAACATACAACTACAGCGCACACAGCAAACCGCACATAGCGCATGTAGCGTATACTACGTCGTCAACATCAGCGGTACGGCGGAGTCGGGATACAGCTGCATTGGAACGAACACAATGTCACAAGCGAGAAGGCCTTTCACTCTCGAGAACTTGTGATTTCACAACAGTCATGTTGACATGAAAAACAAATGTGACGGGTTCGCGTACCGTGCCGGTCAAGAACAAGGTGTCGAACAACTCCCTGGTCAAGAACCACCTTTCCTCTTCCGTAGGACGCCACCACCCCATGATCAGGTGTCAGATGCGGCTCCTAAACGGTGGGGAGGATAGATCAGATCCACCAACCAGAGGCCAAAGGCCTAAATGGCATGTGTCACATCCATGTTTTACTCATGCCAGGCCACGAGTCGTGGTCTGGCATACGTAATACATATTGACATGAACTATCATAGAATTTGCCATCTTGGTTTTGATGGTGTGAGTTCCACTTGTGCGGCTCCAACGGGGTGGGTCACAAGTGAGTTAGGAAAAAATACACTTCATTGAGCAAGTATGTTGATGATGATCAAACACGACTGGTCGTGAGTGGAACACAGAACATGAAAGGACATTTTGACATGGGTGGAATGGAAATTGTGAATGTAAAGCAACCATCAACAGGAACATCTGTGGTGACATCAGAATATCTCAACACATCACAAAGCCAGACTCGCTGGACGAGTGGAGCCAACCAGATGAAAGGAAATCTTAACATGGGATTGAAACACACCATCAATCCCCGACAGTCAACAGAGAATTACTCAGCAACCACAAAGGAATATGTTAATAGAAAGGATGGAGAGGTGAAGGCAAAAAATTGAAGAATATCATCCCAAGCTCATCAGCTACTCCACCAGAAGCCATAGTTCATGCTTTTCCTAATAACCAAAAGTCCAACCAACAAACTGATTGTCACTGAGGATCCTTTCATAGTTGATCAAGAAACAAGTGGTCGCAGAAGACGTTTACATGTACCGTATCGAGATGAGTTGGGGGAAAAAGCGGTAATCCGATACATTACTGAAAATCATGTAACGACAGCATATCTGACCATCATCAGCAAAATACTGACAAAACCAAAACCAACTGCGAGTGGATATGTTCTCATTGATGAATGGGAACTGGTTGATCATGAGTACTGAAAATCCTAATTAAAATTATAATATAGACAATAAATGGAAATGCTTCATTTGTTAATACTGTTGACTATGCTTCCATCGACCCTTGGTTGTATTCGTGGTCCGTTGGATAAGGATGGAGCCTGCTTGACAACAAAACCTCCTGCTGTTTGTCAAACACCAACCCCGGTTGATATCCCTAGTGAAACACCGCCAACAGACCATACCACTACGCAACCACTTTATGATCAGACGAAGCCAGGAAACGTGAACAACCTTCATTTGACAGACCCCTAACTCTACCTGTTATCTCTGATTACTATTCCCACAGTTGGTGCTGTCGTTTATCTCATAAAAAGTTCCAAATGTTCGATGAGTGTTGACCCTGAAAATGATCCAAGAAACTTAGAAACACACCCACCAGTAAGATTGGAATTTGATCCGATGTCATTACCAGATATGCTTGGTGGAAACTATCTACCAAGACCACCCTCAACCTTTGATGTAACTGGTATGGTCTGATGGGAAAAAAGAGAAGGTTTATGATAGAATAAATAATGAAACTGAAAATGATATCTGTCCTCTTAGAAATGTTCATGTTGTGTAGTGTTTCACATTCTTTTATAATTCCTGGGAATAAATGTTGGGTAGAGGGCGATCATATTGTCTGTGTTCCTTCTCAACCACTTATTCCTCCTTATAATGTACCAGGAGCATCTGTGGCACCGCTAACAACAGGAAAACCAACAACAACGTTAATACCTACAACACAGAGAACGATGTCAACAACGGTAGCTCCAGCAACGACGACACCAACGACAACATCGGCTTCACCGACAACATCGGGAATTACATCGGGAACATTGGGAATTACATCGGGAATACCGACAACATCGGGAGCATCGACAACATCGACCCCAACGACAACATCAGGAATTTCATCGGGAACATCGGGTAAATTTAACCACTTGATACACCTACTTTTCCTTCTTCTTCTCATTCCAATTACAGCTGCTGTATTTCAAAGACAAATATAAAAAGATATCATAGAAAGAAGGATAAAGACCTACACACTTTCGAACCAGCCCACCTCATGTAAAGATGATCAGGTGAAAAATACAACGTTCATACCCACAGAAGTAACACTAATCTTGTTGAGGGGAGACCGCCGATTACAAAAAAGTTGATGAAAACAAGAAAAGAGATATGGAAATGGTCAATGCCTTAGCAAAACTAAAACAGGAAACAGTTGAGTATGCTGAATAGATAACACGAGAGCAAGAAGATGGGAAATATATTGTTGATGATGAGATGGAAAATGGGTATGAGTTGCCCATTTTAGGATTGTGAAATGTCTTTTCAGAAAGTTGGTCCAAAGTTAGCTTAACAATATCCAAATCCTCATCCAAAGCTGGATTTCCCGAAGTTGACTCAGGAACCGATCCCAATCAGTCCTCGAAGTGAATCAAGATCGGGTTTGAGAGCCCTCAGATCCTTTAATATAGCTTAAATCGGAGTAAGTCAAAAGAGATCAAGTTGGCTCACTTCCGATTTCTTTCTCCTTTCTTGGAGGGAGCAAGTTGACTCACGTTTCTGGAATTGGGGTGAGCCAACTTTAGAGATTGGGAAAATCAGTAGTTGGAGGGTCTATCCTTCAATACAGTAGTATAGGGGAGGGTAGAGACTTGAGAGATTGGTCGGATAGGGCCAATCGAAAAAGTTGATTTTGGCTCACCCTCAGGTGAGCCAGAACCCCCTCCCCTATACTACTTTACCTGCTGTCGGACGTGTGTTCATCAAAACGTACGAAAGCGACATCCCACTTCTCCTGGACGGTGGTGCAGTGATCCAGTCGAGAGATGGTACTTGTCAAGGCGACCCATTAGGGATGGCCTTTTATGCTTTGGCCTTGATTCCCCTCTTTCGGCATTGGCAGGAGGTCTGCCACTCTCCGGGACATATGTGGTACGCCAATGATGAGGCTGCTGCAGACAAGGTGCCGACATTGCTGTCGTACTGGCATGTGATATCCGATGTCGGTCCAAAGTATGGGTATTATCCTAACCAGCAGAAGACCGTTCTCCTGGAAAAGCCCAATCTAGCTCTTCGTGCCGGGAGCGGTGTTTTATTATTATTATTTTATTTTTTTAATAACGAAGGTACGTGTTGGGTCGTAAGTATCCACGCAAACACACATCCAGTCAAAATCCAGGCACTTGTCAAATTATCCGAACGTTTTTGGTCCCTTCTCATCAAGGATTTTACAGGGAATGGCTCAAGTTGGAAAGACTAAAACTATATAACGTAAAGATATGAGATAACAACACTCGTGACAAGGTGGAAAATTATCAAGTTCAGCACGACACAAAACTCGAAGGAAATAATAATATTGACAAGAACATAGTGAGCAAATTAAGTTGCATTGTTAACACCTCGACGAGGAGTAACACCAAACAATTGTAGCGACAACACATTTTCTATCTCTACGCAAAGTTCAGGATCTAACTTACGGATATACAAAGCTTCTAACACAGCCAGATGCAACGCACATCTATCACGTGACAATATTGAGGACACATTATCACTGTACATTTCACGACAATTGGAATGGGCTGACAGATGTTGTTTGATTGACGAAGTGCGATTTTTAGCTCCGTTGGGTGTTGTCTCCTCCTGTCTGCCGATGTTGAATTTTTTTTTTTTTTACTAATATTCACAAACCCAACTCGTAAAATAAATAATTATGTGGACAAAAACAAACAGCTACTGAGCAGGGGCTGCACTGGGCAGCAGTGATGGTGAGGTACCAGGGGCTCCACCGACCAAAGGTCTCGGCTTCAATGCCACAAGCACGCACCAGGAAAAAGAAACAGAAATGTAAAGCAAAGCTAGATCTACATGTAGCTATTGGGAAGTAGAATGGGTAAAAGTACCGGTAGGTGTTTAGAAGAATAAAAACAAGATGAAAAGAAATTGTTTATTATCAGTGTTTGGACTGATGTACATGTCAACTTTTTGAATTTTTCGAGTGCGGATGCAGTTTTAGGAGCTCCGCTCCTATCAGCCTTTCCGAGTCTGTAACTGTAACCTACAGGAGCTGTGACTTGTCATGCGGACTATGGCCACCAATGAGCATGTCGACCTGGCCCTTCTGACGTTCGACTGTCTACAAAACCTGGCCACCCGGACTGGCATCCCGAAAGCGGACTCCTTCTCACGGCCCGACCTGGTGGGAGCGCTCCGGAAGGAGGGGATTGGGTCCCACCCCATCCTGGAAGGTATGACCGGTATAGGACATGTCACGACTGCTTTGGCCGCATTGTCCTCGACAATAATGGACCTGAATAAAGAAATAGTGGCAATTAGGGTGGGAAGAGATGATGAAATTGCTTCCTTGAAGCTTGAAATTCAACAGCTGAGGCGGGAAATGGCTGACCTGCGAGATACTAGCGTACACACACAGCACGCCATGCCACACCAGTACAGCGACGTAGTACTAGGAACCGCTACACAAACTGCAAGTGCACGTGCGAGGCTCAGCACCACAACGGGCAGGTCTGTACAAACGTACGGTACACACGCCGGCAATGGCAGCCTGCCAGGAGAAACGCGTGTGCCACAACCCAACACTACTACAAGTCGTAGTTCCAGCCCCGCAGCAGGCGTGCATGCATCCCGTAGGTCCAGCACTACTCCAAGTCGTAGCTCCAGCCCCGCAGCAGGCCTGGATGCATCCCGTAGGTCCACCGATACTGAACAACAAGTACATGAATGGCAGGAACACCAGGGCAGACACACTCGAGCCGCCCAGAGACAAAGGCACGCGGCAGATACTAGTAGTCAGTCCCAGCTAGCTCAAAGCATAACAAGGCGAGTGGAAACATCCCGCTACACCAAGCCGGCTCGTGATAGCGAGCCGGCAGTAGACCTCACGGCATCACCCCGGGCCAAACGCAAAGTGTTTTACGTTGGCAACGTGCAGCCACACTGCTCCGCATCATCAATTGCTGAATGGTGCTCTGCCCGAGGAGTGCAGATTCAGGAAGGTGTCATATTTGCATCCAAGCACTTCAGAACTGCCTACGCACGGGTGACCGTCGAGGCAGCTGATGAGAACACAGTCGGTGACAAAGGGTTCTGGCCGGATGCTCTTTCGCACACGGTTAGGCCCTGGCGTTTTGCCGCGGACAGTTTTGACACCAGCAATGCCAACCAGGCAAACAACGTCCTCTCCTCAGGCTCAGCATGATGGCGCGACCACAGCTGAATCCACTGGCTCGGCCCTACTTCCCCCCTTGCCAGGGTAAACTGACCTTGCTTTCCGTAAATTGCCGCTCAATCGTTAACAAATCTGCCGAACTGTCTGTCATTGCTGATTTCAACAAACCTGATGTCATCTGTCTAAATGAAACATGGCTAAATCCAAGCATAGCGCTCACCATCTCCGGTTATACCACATTTCGTCGCGACCGACCACCTCATGATAACAAATCCGGTACGGCAACCAGAGGATATGGTGGAGTTGCGATTCTTGTCCGGCAAAATCGCTTCGGAAGAGTCCAAGTTCGCGACGACCTTGCTCGTCCGACCTGTGAATCCGTATGGGTTGAGCTTCACCCAATCTTAGGCTCCCCGACACCCATCCTCGTCTGCTGTACCTACCGTCCGCCCTCAGTCAAAACCACGGAAATAGACCACTTCTGTGATATGCTAGCTAGTGCTTTGGTAACCGTTCCCATGTCATCGTACCATGTCATAATGGCTGGGGACTTCAACAGTAAGCACAAACGGTGGTGCCCATCGGATTTAACGTGTCCTGCTGGGGCGGCACTTTTTCGCACCCTTACCTGCTTCGGTTTGGATCAGCTGGTGCAGAGTCCAACGCACACAACATCTTCCGGAACACAGTCATGTCTAGACCTTGTCTTCACGAACCAACCCCTGCTGGCGACGGACGTTCACACAGCTTGCGCTCTTGGCTCCTCGGACCATCTCATGGTTTCATGCCAGTTCGCCGTCTCATTGCCCTCGGATCCAGACCTGCCACTTCCTTCTCGCAAACCGTTCCCATATCGCTTCCGTCGAGTTCCCTCTCAGTGCTGGGACTCTATGAACGCTGATTTCTCCTGCCACGACTGGTCGTTTCTGCAACCAGAAGGCTCTCCAACTGTTGACGCCGCGGTAGATCACTTTGCAGCCGTCCTTGAACGAGGGTTCCAACAGCACCTCTCTAACTTTGCTATCGGCTACAACAACCGGAAACATTCCAACCCAACATCCTCGACATCTAGTCCCCCATGGGTGACACGGTCCCTCGTATCTGAAGTGAAGCGCAAGCGTGATCTTTTCAGCATCTACAAGAAATTCCCAACGCCGGTTAACCGGGAGGCTTACCGAGTTCAACGCAACTTCGTCAAGCACCTTTCTCGTACCTCACACCGCTCCTTTCTAAACTCTCTTTCTGCAACACTCTCCTCCCCCGATCGCCCATCACTCCACCAATTCATTCGCAACCAGTGCCGCGGGACCTCCCGCGCGCCAATCCAGTACCTGACGGACTCCCATGGCAACCGCCAGCACGATGTGAAGGCGATTGCAGACACACTGAACAAGCAGTTTGTTTCATCCGGCATTCCGGAAGATCCGAATTGGGTCATTCCATCGCTGTCCCCAGCCCCTGAACTTAGCGCACCACTCACACGCGTCGTTACCACGACTGCTACCGTCTGTAAGCACCTCAAACTCCTGAAGAATTGTAAGTCCCCTGGCGAAGATGGCATACCCAATGAGGTTCTCAAGTGGCTTGCGCCATCTCTGTCCTATCCCTTGTGCCTGCTCTTTAACATGTCATATCGTACAGGAGTATTTCCGTCCGTCTGGAAATCTGCTGTTATCGTCCCGATCTATAAGAAAGGCCAACGCTCTCAGGCTGGCAACTACAGACCAATCTCTCTCCTTCCCGCTGTGTCCAAGGTCTGTGAACGTATTTTCTTTGAGTCTCTGTACTGCCACGTCACCCCAGCGCTTTCACCATCTCAATCCGGTTTCTGCCGTGGAGACTCCACAACTTTCCAACTAACACGTCTAGTACAAGACATCTACACCCAGCGGAACCTCAGGCGGCATGTTGGCATCGTGTTCTTTGACCTAGCGAAAGCTTTCGACACCGTCTGGCATCGTGGTCTGCTTGCAAAGCTAGAGTCCGTCTTCTTGGTACACGGTCCAGCCCTGCAATGGCTCTCATCCTATCTTTCCTGCCGCCACCAGACTGTCAGAGTATCTACCTCCCTATCAGACCCATTACTAGTCGTGTCTGGGGTACCCCAGGGGTCCATACTTGGGCCGCTCCTATTTCTACTGTACGTTAATGACTTGCCAGCCCTTGTACCAAATGTAAGTCTTTTTGCTGACGACACTGCTCTGATGTGCTCCGACAGCTCGGCAGACAACCTCACGGCCTCCAT